GATGGCGTTTAAAGCTGATGATGACGTTTGATGATGGCGTTTAAAGCTGATGATGACGTTTGATGATGGCGTTTAAAGCTGATGATGATGATGATGGCGTTTAAAAAGCTGATGGTGATGACGTTTGATGATGGCGTTTAAAGCTGATGATGATGACGTTTGATGATGGCGTTTAAAGCTGATTGTGATGACGTTTGATGATGGCGTTTAAAGCTGATGATGATGACGTTTGATGATGGCGTTTAAAGCTGATGATGATGATGACTGATGATGGCGTTTAAAGCTGATGATGATGACGTTTTGATGATGGCGTTTAAAGCTGATGATGACGTTTGATGATGGCGTTTAAAGCTGATGATGATGACGTTTGATGATGGCGTTTAAAGCTGATGATGACGTTTGATGATGGAGTTTAAAGCTGATGATGATGGCGTTTAAAGCTGATGATGATGACGTTTGATGATGGCGGTTAAAGCTGATGATGAACGTTTGATGATGGCGGTTAAAGCTGATGATGATGTTTGATGATGTAGATTAAAGCTGATGATGATGATGATGATGGCAGTTAAAGCTGATGATGATGACGTTTGATGATGGCGTTTAAAGCTGATGATGATGACGATTAAAGCTGATGGTGATGACTGATGATGGCGTTTAAAGCTGATGATGATGACGTTTGATGATGGCGTTTAAAGCTGATGGTGATGACGTTTGATGATGGCGTTTAAAACTGATGGTGATGACTGATGATGGCGTTTAAAGCTGATGATGATGACGTTTGATGATGGCGTTTAAAGCTGATGGTGATGACTGATGATGGCGTTTAAAGCTGATGATGATGACGTTTGATGATGGCGTTTAAAGCTGATGGTGATGACGTTTGATGATGGCGTTTTAAAGCTAATGATGATGACGTTTGATGATGGCGTTTAAAGCTGATGGTGATGACGTTTGATGATGGCGTTTAAAGCTGATGGTGATGACGTTTGATGATGGCGTTTAAAGCTGATGATGATGACGTTTGATGATGGCGTTTAAAGCTGATGGTGATGACGTTTTGATGATGGCGTTTAAAGCTGATGGTGATGACGTTTTGATGATGGCGTTTAAAGCTGATGGTGATGACTGATGACGGCGTTTAAAGCTGATGATGATGACGTTTGATGATGGTTGTTAAAGCTGATGATAACGTTTGATGATGGCGGTTAAAGCTGATGATGATGTTTGATGATGTAGATTAAAGCTGATGATGATGATGATGATGGCGTTTAAAGCTGATGATGATGTTTGATGATGGCGTTTAAAGCTGATGATGATGACGTTTGATGATGGCGTTTAAAGCTGATGATGATGACGTTTGATGATGGCGTTTAAAGCTGATGATGATGACGTTTGATGATGGCGTTTAAAGCTGATGGTGATGACTGATGATGGCGTTTAAAGCTGATGATGATGACGTTTGATGATGGCGTTTAAAGCTGATGATGATGATGATTGATGATGGCGTTTAAAGCTGATGATGATGACTGATGATGGCGTTTAAAGCTGATGATGATGACTGATGATGGCGTTTAAAGCTGATGATGATGACGTTTGATGATGGCGTTTAAAGCTGATGATGATGACGACTGATGATGGCGTTTAAAGCTGATGGTGATGACGTTTGATGATGGCGTTTAAAGCTGATGGTGTGACTGATGATGGCGTTTAAAGCTGATGATGATGACGTTTGATGATGGCGTTTAAAGCTGATGGTGATGACGTTTGATGATGGCGTTTAAAGCTGATGATGATGACGTTTGATGATGGCGTTTAAAGCTGATGGTGATGACGTTTGATGATGGCGTTTAAAAGCTGATGGTGATGACTGATGATGGCGTTTAAAGCTGATGATGATGACGTTTGATGATGGCGTTTAAAGCTGATGGTGATGACGTTTGATGATGGCGTTTAAAGCTGATGGTGATGACTGATGATGGCGTTTAAAGCTGATGATGATGACGTTTGATGATGGCGTTTAAAGCTGATGATGATGATGATTGATGATGGCGTTTAAAGCTGATAAGGATGACTGATGATGCCGTTTAAAACTGATGATGATGATGATTGATGATGGCGTTTAAAGCTGATGGTGATGACGTTTGATGATGGCGTTTAAAGCTGATGATGATGACTGATGATGGCGTTTAAAGCTGATGGTGATGACGTGTGATGATGGCGTTTAAAGCTGATAAGGATGACTGATGATGCCGTTTAACGATGATGGTGATGACGTTTGATGGCGTTTAAAGCTGATGATGATGACTGATGATGTGATTGTAGTTGGTATTGATGATCGTGATTATAGCTGATGACTGATAATATCAATTAACACTGACGATTATTGATGATTGTTATTATAACGATGATGATAATGGTGCTAATAGTTGATGATGATAATTGATGATGGTGATTAAAGTGATTAAAGTAGAAGCTGGTAATTATGATTGTGATTAAAGATGATAATGATGTCTTATGATGATTATTAATTGATGGTGTCGATTGATAATGATGCTGATAGTGGACGATGATGACTTTGAAGATGATCATTGTTGTTGATAATGATTGATACGGTGATAAATTGTTGGTGATCATGGTTATTAGCTGATGAGTGATGATTCATGATGACAATTATAGTTGATGAAGATGTTTGATGAAGATAATGATAGTTAATGACGATGACTGATGCTGATAATTATACTTGATCATGATGATTGATGAGGATAATTTTAGTTGATGAAAATGATTGATTATGATAATTATACTTGAACATGGTGATTGATGATGATAAATATAGTTGATGAAGATGATTGATTATGATAATTATACTTGATCATGGTGATTGATGAGGATAATTATACTTGATCATGATGATTGATGAGGATAATTTTAGTTGATGAAGATGATTGATTATGATAATTATACTTGATCATGATGATTGATGAAGATAATTTTAGTTGACAAGAGCCCGGTTTGAACCGGGTGATGCTCCCCGAATAGGTTTTGGACACAGGAAAGTACACCTTTTTTAGTGTCAGAGTTATGTCCCTGGAAAAAGTTCAAAATGCAATAATTTCAAAATAAGGCAAGGCAGAGTTAACGTTCTTTGCACTACACTTCTAATCAATGCGATCTATCCACCTTCAAAGTTTCTTGTTGGCACCTCTTATGGTTTCCAAGTTATGTTCCGACAAAGTTTAAAATGTAAAAATGAACAAAGGGCAATAACTTCAAAATTTGGCAAGGCAGAGTTATGATTCTTATGCACTGCACATCTACCTATTGAGATATATCTACCTACAAAGTTTCATGTTGGTACCTTTTACAGTTTTACAGCTATGTCCTGGACAAGATTTTTCTAAAATGGGAGGTTACTCAAAAACGAGGCTTAACAGAGTTCTGGTTCTTTTGCACTGTACTTCTACGCAATGAGATCTATCTACCTACAATGTTTCATGTTGATATCTCCTATAATCTAAGAGTTATGTTCCGGACAAAGTTCAAAGTATTAAAATTAAAAAAGGGCAATAACTCCAAAATTAGACAAAAAAAGTTACAATTCTTATGCACTGCACATATACCCATTGAGAGCTATTTACCTACAAAGTTTTATGTTGATATCTCTTATAGTTTTAGAGTGATGTCCCGAACAAGACTTTTCTAAAAGGGGAGATAATTCAAAAACCGGTCAAAATAGAGTTATGGTTCTTTGACACTGCACTCCCCCTCAATACCCTCTACCACTGTGTGAAGTTTAAACAAATCATTTCCAAGGGTTTTCAAGTTAGGCTCCGGACAAGATAACAGACGGACAGACAGACGGACAAGGTGGCGACTATATGCCCTCCTTTATAGAGCATAAAAATGGTTGATGATGATAAATAAAGTTGATGAAGATGATTGATTATGATAATAATAGTTGATGAATATTATTGATGATGATAATTATAGCTGTTAATGATGATAAAAAGGATGATGATACTGCTTGATGATGGTGTTGATGATGGTTTAAAACAATAATTAATTATTATAATGATTATAGGTGATGATGATGTTTGATGATTATGAATGTAGATGATGATGTAGACTGATGATGATAATTATAGTTGATGATGATGATCATTGATGATGATAATTATAGATGATGATTGATGATGGTAAATATAGTTGATAAATATGATTGATTGATTATGATAATAGTTGAAGATGATAATGATTGATGGTAATTATAGTTGTTGATGATGATAATTGATGATGATAATTATAGTTGATGACGATGAATGATGATGATAAATATAGTTGATAAAGATGATTGATTGATTATAATAATAATAGTTGATGAAGATGACTGATGATGATAATTATAGTTGGTGATGACAATAGTTGATGATAATGATTGATGATAATTATAGTTGATGATGATGGTGATGATGATTGATGATGATAATTATAGTTGGTGACGATGATTGATGATAATAATAGTTGATGATGATGAAAAATATAGTTGATGATAATTATTGATGATTATTAAAGATGATGATGATGATGATTGATGATAATTATAGTTGAGGACGATGATTGATAACGATAAATATAGTTGATAAAGATGATTGATGATGATAATTATAGTTGATGATGACAAAAGTTAATGATAATGATTGATGATAATAATAGTTGTTGATGAAGATGATGATTGATGATGATAATGATAGTTGATGATGACAATAGTTGATGAAAATGATTGATGATAATTATAGTTGATGATGATGATTGATGATTATTATAGTTGATGATGATTGATGATAATTATATTTGAGGATGGTGATTGATGATGATCATAGTTGAGGATGATGATTGATGATGATGATGATTGATGATGGCGACTTAAGTTGATGATGAAGACTAATGATGGTGATTATAGTTGGTGATTAAATTGATGTTGACAACCGATACTTCTGTTAATTATGGTGACATTACAGATTCACCATGCCTTCATTAGCTTTAATGTCAATTTTGAACAAAACAATTTCCTTGCTATTCAGGTAAACAACCCTGCCAATTTTCAGCTATTTCTATGTACGGACGGAAAGACGGACAACGCCATGGCAATACCATGTTCCGGTAAAGGATAACAATTCACTGCACATAACAATGACCACATAAAACTTCTATATTAATCATCATACAAGTCCACAGCTTCATCGTTTAGACGCCAAAATATTTCATTTAATTTTCATTATTAAATTGGTACACATTTTTACTATGTAAAAATACAATGTTTATTCAAGTAGAATCACAAATGGTTCAAGGGACGGTTTAAAGGGACTCCACTGAAATATTTTGATATCACGGGACAGGAAACATATTCTGAAGATTTAAAACCATTTGATGTAGGTCTTTACTAATAACTAGTGTACAAAATTTCAAATAACTCAATGACGTTTAAAAAAATATCAATGTGCAAAATGTCCAAAAAATGAAAAACTATAAAATGTTTTTTACTCAAAACGGGCTAAGGATAGCACTAAATATTGATAGATTTCAGTTTCATTTTGGATATGTTTTCTGAATATTTTCTTTATATATTTTTTCTTCTTTTTTTAAGTGCTTGGTGTAAGATTTTCAAAGTTTGTGTTTTTAGGCTTTGGTACCTCATTGGAGCTCCTTTACCATTTTTATCTCTTGGAATGCAGTATATGCTCTTTTTTGAATTTTGATATTGAAATCATTTTTACTTTGAATGGGCTGTCCCAATGTCAAAGACTGGCAATTCCATGACTCCAAATCAGCAGATTTAGGGTAAAATACATATATGTACAAATGCATTAAAAGGAATTGTTTTAATTAGCATTACCTTAAACATAAATCTGTTTCAGTTTCACAGGGATTCTATCTATGTGTCGTAGATCACCAATGCTGGTCTTGCCATGATCTCTTGTTACTTCGACATTGATCTGAAATTAACGTTATAAATAACTAGATGTTGAATACTTGCAGTACCTAAATACATATGAGCCGCGTCATGACAAAACCAACATAATGGGTTTGCGACCAGCATGGATCCAGACCAGCCTGCGCATCCCCGCAGTCTGATCAGGATCCATACTAATCGCTGTCAATTTCTCTATTTGATATAGGGTTATTAAGCGAACAGTCTGGATCCTTATCAGACTGCGCGGATGCGCAGGCTGGTCTTGATCCATGCTGGTCGCAAATCCATTATGTTGGTTTTGTCATGACACGGCTCAATTGAATTATTCATTTATCTATTTTCCTTTGTTAATCATTGAATGTTGTAGTCTTAAATAGCTTTGATTTTACATTGTAAAAAAGTTATCCTGAAAATCGTATCTTCATTTACTTGTTCATTTTATATAATATACAGATTTCCGGCATGTCATTAAGGATTACGTAGCAAAAATACGTTTCATCAAAAAAAAATGTGGAAGAAATATTTTATCACTGACAGTGCCATTTGTTATATTTAACCTTTTTTTTAAATGTGCATACTTTAACGTATTTAAAAATATTGATTTCAAAACATTGCTCGGTATATTATTTTAAAATAATTTACTTCTTTGACTGATTTATTTCAATTATTTTCAATTTTTCATGCTATAATTTTGTATTTTGTTTCACAGTTTGTGTGTTAATTCGCACCGACGCTATTAATGTCATATGACGACTTAATTAATGATTTAATGGTAGAGGAAACATCTAGTGCTACTCCAGACACTATTTCAGGCACAAGTGGGAACTTGAGTATAAACTTTCATTTAATTTCAATGTTTAATTTGTTTATTTACAGTACATTGTACTTACAATTTTTCCGGAACGCCATTTAAGCTTTAGTGAAAAGAAATATTTTATAAATGAACGTACAATTTGTTCCATATTATTTCTATTTTCATGAATCAAAACATTTTAATGTTATGAAAAATGGTTTGACAATAGTAATGTATAATATTTTACTTCTACGACTGACCAATTAATAATTATTTTCAAGTTGTTTTTTTTGTTTTAAATCACGCCGACAGTACATGGCGACTTCTAGATTTAATGGTAAACATTAAGCGTCACTCATGTACACTATTTCAGGCACAAGTTCGGACCTAGGTGGAACCACCAAACTTTCGTGAGGGAAAATGCAATGATTATCTCTATTTTATACTAAAGTTTACCTTGAACGATAAAATATCAGCTCCAATCACATAATTATTCCCCAACAGATTTTCAAGGGAGGTAACTGGAATCACACCACAGCAGACGTACATTTCGCCAATCGGAACAGCTCGACGATTATTCATAATTATCCCGAAGACTGACGGAAAGGGCCGAGAAGTTGCGGTTTGCATTGAGCTACCTCTCCTCCGCCAGAACCCATATCACTGACCACCTGCTACCTGTGAAACAACTATTTATTACATGTTCTAACTATTGACTATTCATTTTTGTAAACAAAAGGCCGTCTGACAAATAGTCTATGATATAATATTATTTTACAGGAACAAAGTAACTTTTGAAAAAATTAACAAATGTTAAAACGTTAACGTTGCATTCGTTTGTAACTTTATATCATGATTTTAATCATTTTTTTAAACACTTTTTATTACAAATAGTAGTTACTTTGAAAATTTGCTTGATGTTTATTTCTTCCATTCATTTATTCAATTTGTTATCATGCTCAAAATCACGTGTCTCTTCTTGCATTATTTCAAGCACAAGTGCGGCCTAGAGTAGAACCACCGACCTTCCTAACGTAGCGGTAAGGATCTGTTGATCCTAAAATATTCTGTCTTCCAAATTATCTTATTACGGCAATAGGAGATTGTGGAAAACAATCTGTAATATTAATGTTTGTCTTCGTTGAAAATGCAGCGATTGTAGTTTTCTTCTGTATTAAAGCTTACCTTGGAAGACGAAAAAATGCTCTTGTCCATAATAGTACATCACTTCAAGGGAGGTAACTGGGGTCATCCTAGCAGTTATCGTAACTGAAGTACATACATTTCTTTTCTACGCCACTGCAACCAATCCCATATCATTGACTACCTGTAAACCAACTATTAATCACATTTCCTTACAGCTTCTTATTTAAAATACGAAGGCTCTCCAGAAAACTTAAGTTTTAATACTTGTAATATTTGAACTCAGTCATAATTATTTAAAAGACGTAAGTACATACTGTAGTACGATAAGTACTTTAGTTACAATCCTGACTAGTCTATGATGTGACAAAGTAAACAACTTGGCGACTTTTAGGTGTAACGTCGGGTGCCCGTCTATGCATAAGTCCAGGCACAAGTGCGGACCTGAGTAGAATCACTGACTTAGCTGGTTTGTTTATACATATAACGCCGCTATAAACACGTTTTTGGTCTTATGTTGGCGGAAAGTCCACTTTAACGAGATAACAAACCAGTAATATTTTTTTATGCGCAAGTGACGGAATACTTAGCTAGATGGATAATCCTTTAGTAAGGATCTGTGTGTTCTTTAAATAATGCTTCCTCCCATATAAATGATAAATACGGCAATAGAAGCTTGCGAAAGCATTCCGCAGAAATGCTTTTTTGTTTTTGTTTTAGTTGAACGATAGTATGAGTGTAGTTTTCTTCAATACTAAGCTTACCTTGAAGGACAAAATCTACCCGGTCAACTTTCATAAAACCAAACTTCAGGGTAGGTAACTGAGCCACATCATTAATGTATTGTCTTTTCCAAACAAATCCCGCACCATTAACAACTTGCTACCTGTGAAACAACTATCATTTACATGTTCAAATTGCTGCATTTTCATTATGGTAAAATGTAATGTTAAGTTAATAAATATTCATTATCTTAAACACGGAATCACATTTGTTTTTTAAGAAGCCTATCACATTAAATTCTCGATACTTTAGTTAAATAAAGTAGGAAACCGTTGCAATTTAGCTTACACCACCAAATATCGTCCTCATAAATAATCTAAGTTAAAACTGGTAGTATCAAAATTAGGAAAATATAAACCATGTCATTATAACGGCATTAAATATTGCAGATCATTCTTGAACTTGTTATAAATCACATAGGATTTTGGTTTGCTTACCATACATATGACTTGCACACAATTTAGAGGTCACGCTCTTGCCTTAAATGAATTTTTGTACATTAATTTAAGCTTCGTGTATTGTATACCCACTTCCATTTATTGTATACCCAATTCCGTGTATTGTATACCCAATTCCGTGTATTGTATACCCAATTCCTGTATTGTATATCCTCTGACTGTCTTCTGATATGATTATACTCAAGGTCAAGGTCATTAATGCAATGGCATCCTGTTCGCTGGTGGTACAAGGTCATTCATCCTTACTAAAAGAAATATTTTATCAGTCAACATAATCAATAAAAAAAACCATATATTAAACATTTCGATAAATCTAATACATTGTCAATAAAACAATATTTCTCTTGAAAACTGCAAACATTTCCATTCAGCAAAGTTCTAGTAAGCTGTGAAACATTCATACGATCATGGATCTTCTTCTCCTGAAACATCCAAGGTTATTACGATAACATAAAATAAAAGTTTATAAAACATGAGTTTACAATTAAAATTACTGGATACAGTAAAACCTCGTCATATTAACAACCTTTTGGGAGACACAGATTCTGGCTGTTGTTGATAGGCGTTGCTCTACAAAGGTTTGGTCCAATGTTGTTTAAATGGTATGGTATAGCTCTGCAGTAGGCCGCTGTACAGAGGTGGCACTGTAAATGACAATTTTTTTTTTAAATGCATCAGTGCCAATCACTTATATAGACACAAATTCGTATTTCCAAATACGCGTATATTGTATATATACATAAAGTAATATATACATGTAAAAAGATACAAAACAATTACTATGAGTTGAATACATGAACTTACAAAAACCATGAATAAACCATCTATGACATCATGTACCAATACATGTACAACCCTCGTAAAACGCAACAACATTATATGAAACAACAACAAGAACAAACGAAAACAAACAAATCTAGACAAATAATAGAACAAAGCAGTCAAAATAAACAAAACAGCAACAAGAACAATAAAACAAAGCCAACCAAATACAACCCTATCAAAATCAACCAAAGCCACATTCCAAAGTAACAATGAAGTGCAATTGTAACAACAAAAACAACACCAAAATCAAAATGAACAGAATTCACGGTTTCTTGTTCATAATCTGAATAAAATATTTGTTTGCACATGCGCAACTTTTACACTCTCATACGTACGTATTGATATGTATAGATATTTTGTTATTTGATATAGACAGTATAAATTTAAGCCATTTTTTTCAAACTGAAATAGCTTTCAACAGTAATGGTGTTTTAATTCAACTGCCATAATACGTGCAGCATATGTGGAAAAATGTTTCTCTTCACAGTATTTTCGACTGTCCTGAAACTAAATTCGTAATAAAGGTTAAAATCTGAAAATTACCAAACTGATGAAAAACGAAAATTACCCTTACCTTTTTAAGTTGACCACAATAACAATCTGTAAGGTGTCGGCCTTGTGAATTTTCGTATTCTTTGTTCTATAGTAAATCAGTCACATTTGAGGCTTAATTCTGGATTCCACTGTTCTTGATGAATTATATACTGTCTTCAACTTAAACATCAACACTATCTAAGTCAAATGAAGCCCAAAAGATAATAGGTTAGCCATCTACTTCTTTCAGAAATCTTCATTCTGTTGTAAAACAGTTTAAATTCACCACTTTAAAAACTCCTGACTGCTGGTTGGTGGTACATATTTAACCCTTCCGCCAACAAATGAGTTTCTGAAGAATACACAAAAAACAACTTTTAAAGTCATCATATAACACACAAAAACTACACACATGCAATAAATACACTTAAATTATTATCAATCTAACTAGAGATGACTTAGATTTGGCCACTTCAAAATTTTAAAGAACTACTTTCTAGACTACAATAGGTTTGGTCTAATTCCGTACCGGGTTGAGAAAAAATTTAAGTTAAGCCAAAACTAATACTCATTTCCTAGTAATTTAGTGTTATACAAGTACAATCATATAGGTTTGACATGTCTAACAAATTACATTCATGCAGTACAATGTCTTAAATATGAAACTTCATGCGAAAAATCAGCCTCGGCCAATAGAATTTTAGGCTAAATTTATATCAAATATTCTGTCATATCTTTTGATTTTGTCAATGGATTTTCTTCGAATAAAGTTAAATGTTACCGGCTAATGTCATTTAGTTATTTTTATGAAAGAATAAGCCCGTATTGCTTTAAAATTGTAATATAAACTCCATTTATTTTAATGAGAGCATGAAATTTTGGTATAAAATACAAGTAATCACGATTAAATGTGCTTTTTTCATAACTTTTTCTTTCAATATTGCAATAAAACTTACTGATTATGATTTTTACCTTGTGAATTTTCGTATTCTTTGATCTATAGTAAATCAGTCACATTTGAGGCTTAATTCTGGATTCCACTGTTCTTGATGAATTATATACTGTCTTCAACTTTAAACATCAACACTATCTAAGTCAAATGAGGCCCAAAATATAATAGGTTAGCCATCTACTTCTTTCAGAAATCTTCATTCTGTTGTAAAACAGTTTAAATTCACCACTTTAAAAACTCCTGACTGCTGGTTGGTGGTACATATTTAATCCTTCCGCCAACAAATGAGTTCCTGAAGAATACACAAAAAACAACTTTTAAAGTCATCATATGACACAAAAACTACACACATGCAATAAATACACTTAAATTATTACCAATCTAACTAGAGATGACTTAGATTTGGCCACTTCAAAATTTTAAAGAACTACTTTCTAGACTACAATAGGTTCGGTCTAATTCCGTACCGGGTTGAGACCTAAATGAATCCAAAATTTAAGTTAAGCCAAAATTAATACTCATTTCCTAGTAATTTAGTGTTATACAAGTACAATCATATAGGTTTGACATGTCTAACAACTTACATTCATGCAGTACAATTTCTTAAATATGAAACTTCATGCGAAAAATCAGCCTCGGCCAATAGAATTTTACGCAAAACTTTATATCAAATATTCTGTCATATCTTTTGATTTTGTCAATGGATTTTCTTCGAATAAAGTTTAATGTTACCGGCTAATGTCATTTAGTTATTTTTATGAAAGAATAAGCCCGTATTGCTTTAAAATTGTAATATAAACTCCATTTATTTTCATGAGAGCATAAAATTTTGGGTTAAAATACAAGTAATCACAATTAAATGTGCTTTTTTCATAACTTTTTCTTTCAATATTGCAATAAAACTTACTGATTATGATTTTTACCTTGTGAATTTTCGTATTCTTTGATTTAAAGTAAATCAGTCACATTTGAGGCTTAATTCTGGATTCCACTGTTCTTGATGAATTATATACTGTCTTCAACTTTAAACATCAACACTACCTAAGTCAAATGAGGCCCAAAATATAATAGGTTAGCCATCTACTTCTTTCAGAAATCTTCATTCTGTTGTAAAACAGTTTAAATTCACCACTTTAAAAACTCCTGACTGCTGGTGGGTGGTACATATTTAATCCTTCCGCCAACAAATGAGTTCCTGGAGAATACACAAAAAAAAAACAACTTTTAAAGTCATCATATAACACACAAAAACTATACACATGCAATAAATACACTTAAATTATGACAACTCTAACTAGAGATGACTTAGATTTGGCCACTTCAAAATTTTAAAGAGCTACTTTCTAGTCTACAACAGGCTCGGTCTAATTCCGTACCGGGTTGAGACCGTAAGAGAATGCACTTACAAATTAAACATAAACATTAACTTTTTAGCTTGCTTATCTAAATAAGAATGTATCAAGTCTCTTTAAAAGCGCAAGTGTTACGCAAAAATTTCTTTACCTTTTTAAAGCTATCATTACAGTTTTTAGAATTTTTCAAAAATAAAACTGTTGTGCCGTCCGGTTAGCTGAATAGGTAGGGCGTTGGACTGTGAATCGGGTTCGATTTCCAGACTGTGCAGGTCAGTTTCGATGTGGTTGATCTACGGCCATTCTATTTTTGCATGAACAGAAGTTATCAGTTCCTTGCAAAAGTAAAGGCAACTGGTACTTGTAAACCCTTTGATAAGCATGCCCAGAAACTATGTGGTGACTGAACTGTGCTCTGATTAATCAATTGTGGCTTACTGCCGTGATCCGGAGTGAAAACTACTTACACAAGCGCCTCTTAAAATTTTGCTATGCAACTGTTGGCCTCATAACAACCCTTGGCAGAAATTGTAGTAACAATCTATGTCAGCCACAAAACAAAGTATATCAATAATAATCATTATTTTTTTAATTTTTGAAACTAAAGTACATTCAGATATTATATAAAATTATGAAAACAGATTTGTAACTAAAGATTAAGAAGTAAATAGAACTGTTTGCCTTAATATCTATGCAAGCTACTGTCTGTATCAGAACAGTTTTTATATAAAATAATTTTTTCACTTACCTTCTAACAACAAATTATCAAGACCACCGCCGTAAACATCCACACACCCTGCAGTAGTTGTACCACTACCACTACCACCACAACCACCACCATCATCCTCACCACCATCATCATCACCACTACCAACACCGCCACCACCATTACCACCATCACCAACAACACCATCAAAAATCGCCTTCATCTTTCATCACAACTTACACGGTAAGATTGTGTCAACGATTTGTATCCCATTCAATTATTGCGAGCTGAAAATAGTGAATTTTATAAGAAGCCTTTTCAAATGTTTCTAAATATATCAATTACAATTTGTTAAGCATTGATTTATTTCAAACATATTCTTTCCGGAGTGTCTTGTTTTACATACATTTTTAACAAAGTTTTTTCCCAAAATCAAGTCTTATCAGTGGCATGAAACACATATGTCGAATTTTTATTTTGTTTTACGGAAAGCATGTTTAATAAAGATCCATGGGAGTTTGCAATCCATTGATTAATATATATGTTATATAACTTGATTGCAATTAATATTTTCCTAAGCAACTCCACTGACAATCGTTCAGACATTCTCTAAATGTGATATACATGTAAGAAAATATGATGCACGTGTAAGATCATAATTGTACGAGTTCTAGCAAATTTGTAAGTAATTTTATGAGCCGCGTCATTACAAAACCAACATAATGGGTTTGCGACCAGCATGGATCCAGACCAGCCTGCGCATCCGCGCAGTCTGATCAGGATCCATGCTGCTCGCTATCAGTTTCTCTACTTGTTATAGGGTTTGTAAGCGAACAGCATGGATCCTGATCAGACTGTGAAATTCGGAATTTTCAGCTCGCAACTTACGAAAATAAGATATTCCGTGGACACACAGCAAAAGTATTTCATATATAAGTGCGGGCCGGAGTAGAACCACTGACCTTCTGTAGTAAAAATGCAATTAGTGTGGCGTTTTTCTATATAACAGCTTACCTTGAACTGTTGAAAGAATTCAAATCTGCTCCAATTCACCAAGTAGGTAGTAGTCAGGTAGTAGTACAAAACTTTTCGGTGAGGTAACTGGAGTCATGTCCCAGCTGTAATCATACATGAAGAACATACGTTTCGATTCCTATCCTCTGTGAATAAATCCCTCATACCATTGACCACCTGCCTCTAGTACCTGTGAAACAACGATTTAATCACATATTCTGACCGCTGCCCTTCCTACTGATAAAATCATTATAAAGAAACTCATCTCAAACAGTAAAAAATCTTATCACATTAAACATATATTATATATTACTCATTTCCTAGTAATTTAGTGTTATACAAGTACAATCATATAGGTTTGACATATCTAACAACTTACATTCATGCAGTACAATTTCATAAATATGAAACTTTATGCGAAAAATCAGCCTCGGCCAATAGAATTTTACGCAAAACTTTATATCAAATATTCTGTCAGATCTTTTGATTTTGTCAATGGATTTTCTTCGAATAAAGTTTAATGTTACCGGCTAATGTCATTTAGTTATTTTTATGAAAGAATAAGCCCGTATTGCTTTAAAATTGTAATATAAACTCCATTTATTTTCATGAGAGCATAAAATTTTGGGTTAAAATACAAGTAATCACAATTAAATGTGCTTTTTTCATAACTTTTTCTTTCAATATTGCAATAAAACTTACTGATTATGATTTTTACCTTGTGAATTTTCGTATTCTTTGATCTAAAGTAAATCAGTCACATTTGAGGCTTAATTCTGGATTCCACTGTTCTTGATGAATTATATACTGTCTTCAACTTTAAACATCAACACTACCTAAGTCAAATGAGGCCCAAAATATAATAGGTTAGCCATCTACTTCTTTCAGAAATCTTCATTCTGTTGTAAAACAGTTTAAATTCACCACTTTAAAAACTCCTGACTGCTGATGGGTGGTACATCTTTAATCCTTCCGACAACAAATGAGTTCCTGGAGAATACACAAAAAACAACTTTTAAAGTCATCATATAACACACAAAAACTACACACATGCAATAAATACACTTAAATTATGACCACTCTAACTAGAGATGACTTAGATTTGGCCACTTCAAAATTTTAAAGAACTACTTTTAGTCTACAACAGGCTCGGTCTAATTCCGTACCGGGTTGAGACCGTAAGAGAATGCACTTACAAATTAAACATAAACATTAACATTTTAGCTTGCTTATCTAAATAAGAATGTATCAAGTCTCTTTAAAAGCGCAAGTGTAACGCAAAAATTTCTTTACCTTTTTAAAGCTATCATTACAGTTTTTAGAATTTTTCAAAAATAAAACTTTTGTGCCGTCCGGTTAGCTGAATAGGTAGGGCGTTGGACTGTGAATCGGGCAACACGGGTTCGATTTCCAGACTGTGCAGGTCAGTTTCGATGTGGTTGATCTACGGCCATTCTATTTTTGCATGAACAGAAGTTATCAGTTCCTTGCAAAAGTAAAGGCAACTGGTACTTGTAAACCCTTTGACAAGCATGCCCAGAAACTATGTGGTGGCTGAACAGTGCTCTGATTAAGTCATTGTGGCGTATTGCCGTGATCCGGAGTGAAAACTACTAACACAAGCGCCTCTTAAAATTTTGCTATGGAACTGTTGGCCTCATACATTTAACAACCCTTAGCAGAAATTGTAGTAACAATGTATGTCAGCCACAAAACAAAATATATCAATAATAATCATTCTTTTCTCAATTTTTGAAACTAAAGTACATCCAGATATTATATAAAATTATGAAAACAGATTTGTAACTAAAGATTAAGAAGTACATAGAACTGTTTGCCTTAATATCTATGCAAGCTACTGTCTGTATCAGAACAGTTTTCATATAAAATATTTTTTTCACTTACCTTCTAACAACAAATTATCAAGACCACCGCCGTAAACATCCACACACCCTGCAGTAGTTGTACCACTACCACTACCAACACCACCACCATCATCCTCACCACCATCATCATCACCACTACCAACACCACCACCATCATCCTCACCACCATCGTCATCACCACTACCAACACCACCACCACCATCACCACCACCACCAACAACACCATCAAAAATCGCCTTCATCTTTCATCACAACTTACACGGTAAGATTGTGTCAACGATTTGTATCCCATTCAATTATTGCGAGCTGAAAATAGTGAATTTTATAAGAAGCATGTTCAAATGTTTCTGAATATATGAATTAAAATTTGTTAAGCATTGATTTATTTCAAACATATTCTTTCCTTAGTGTCTTGTTTTACATATATTTTTAACAAAGTTTTTCCCAAACTCAAGTCTTATCAGTGGCATGAAACACGTGTGTCGAATTTTTATTTTGTTTAATGGAAAGCATGTTTAATAAAGATCCATGGGAGTATGCAATCCATTGATTAATATATATGTTATATAACTTGATTGCAATAAATATTTTCCTAAGCAACTCCACTGACAATCGTTCAGACATTTTCTAAATGTGATATACACGTAAGAAAATATGATGCACGTGTAAGATCATAATTGTACGAGTTCTAGCAAATTTGTAAGTAATTTATAATTGAGCCGCGTCACGACAAAACCAACATAATGGGTTTGCGACCAGCATGGATCCAGACCAGCCTGCGCATCCGCATCAGTTTCTCTACTTGTTATAGGGTTTGTAAGCGAACAGCATGGATCCTGATCAGACTGTGAAATTCGGAATTTTCAGCTCGCAACTTACGAAAATAAGATATTCCGTGGACACACAGCAAAAGTATTTCATATATAAGTGCGGGCCGGAGTAGAACCACTGACCTTCTGTAGTAAAAATGCAATTAGTGTGGCGTTTTTCTATATAACAGCTTACCTTGAACTGTTGAAAGAATTCAAATCTGCTCCAATTCACCAAGTAGGTAGTAGTCAGGTAGTAGTACAAAACTTTTCGGTGAGGTAACTGGAGTCATGTCCCAGCTGTAATCATACATGAAGAACATACGTTTCGATTCCTATCCTCTGTGAATAAATCCCTCATACCATTGACCACCTGCCTCTAGTACCTGTGAAACAACGATTTAATCACATATTCTGACCGCTGCCCTTCCTACTGATAAAATCATTATAAAGAAACTCATCTCAAACAGTAAACAATCTTATCACATTAAACATATATTATGTATTTAAATGTTATAACATAATTTCAAACTTAATCTGCGTTTTGTAAACACAATCTTATAAAAATGATAAAAGAAAGACTGACATTTGCCAAGTACTGCTAAAAATATTAGTCTATGAAATTAATTTTTAGCTTCAACAGTAAAAAAAAATGTAATCTATCATGGAATTTCGACGGCATAACTTGAATCATTTATTTAAACATAGGTGCAAAAAAAAATTATTGAAACCTCAAAAATAAACAAATAAATAAATAAATTCAAACCGTGAAGTTGTGTCCTTCCCTCCTAAAACCACATTGGCTATGAACAAGTTACGGTAAATTTGCACGGAGTTTACATGGTAACATGCCGCCCGAGGACAATATCACACGAATAGCTACCAAAAAAACGTGCAACTTTAAGTTACATGTGTAAAAGCTCGAACATCGCTCAGTCACGTGATCGACCTACATAACAAACCTGTGTAATCCATACTTCAATACCACAAACAGTTACACGTGTTCGATTATTTAAGAAACAAGTGTGGTGAAATTCTTATTGCAATCCACTAATCTGATAATTCAAATATAAGGCATCGTGTAAATTCGGATATCTTCGTATATTTCCGATAATTTCTGTTTTTGTTATTTAAAACAAACACACTTATTTTAAAGTAACAACAATATATATATAAAGTTTCCTTTTAAAAGGAAAGGCTTGCACAGTTGTGCCTTCATCCCAACCCTTTAAAATTGTTTTCAATTTATTATCACATTTTTTTTTAATAACGGTATTTGTATATCATAAAGGGTTTATTTAGTTGTTTTTGTTTTTTTTGTTTTTTTGGAAAACCGAATATTTTTTTTGTCAAAACGATTTAGATCTATTCTCTATTGTATAAAACTAATAAAGAAAATGATCAATCGTAAAAATATTAACGTAAGGAAAACAAGTGTGCACATCTCATTTCCCCTTTTTCGCAGCGAAATCATTCCTTTGCTTTATAGACAAGTAAATGCACTAAAATACTTCGTTACGTGGTACCAATTAATAAGCATGATTGTATTAACTATGATACATAGATCAGCACATGGCAAGGTAAATGATATGCATGGGCTATTTTTAGATTACTTCACCAAGAAGTTGAATTGCGTTCAGTAGATCTAAATATAACTCGATCATGCGTGATTTGGTAAGCAGGACCACCCTTTGAAGACGGAATAATACTACAGTCACCATTCTCTATTGTATAAAACTAATACAGACAAAAAAAACAATTAAAAGAAACTAACTTTTGCGTTTTGAAAAAAAATGAAACGGAACAATTTCGTTTATACCGATAAATCAAGTAAAAATAGAAATCCTATTTATATACACAAACTGGGATTACCGAAGTAACTAAAATAGCTTAGATTTCCGTAATATTACTCCGCAGTATGACGAAATCGACCGAACTATCACGATTGCAATCGGAACTACTTCGGCTATTATCTTAATCCGAAGACTGACGGAAAAGGCCAAAAAGTTGCGATTGGCACGATTGCAGATGGTTTCCCGTTCAATCATGCACCAACAGATGTAAGCAGGAAACCACCTAACCGGAACAAGTTTTCCATATGAAATGGCTTGCAGCCGTGGCTGCAAGCCAATAAAGGAAGACATAGGGACCTACATGTATGCATAGTGTAAATTCAGGTATCCTCGCAAGTTTGCGATAAGTTCTGATAAATTATTATTTAAAGTAACATGAATTCAAGTACTCTCTCGATTTTTGCTGATTCAGAGATTCTTTATTGAATCATGAACAGATAAGGCACACTTGCCTCATAGTTTTTCATGACAGTGCCATGTACGATATATGTAGGCGACTCATTCCAGAAGCCTGTTAGTTTAATTTTTAAAGGGACTCCACTGAGGCCCAAAATCCATAAAAATTGAATTTCTCAAAAAGATCACATTGGGCACTTAAAACAGAAAGATATTCAAAAGATAATTAATAAATATACTGAGGATGAACATGAATTAAAAATCGAATTTTTGTGCTTTTTAGCTCGATTTGAGTGAAAAGCGTTGCAACGATTTTTTTCAATTCTTGATTGAAAAATCATTCTGGAAAAACGAAAAGTGCGATTGATGTGAAATTTTGCACACAAGTTATTGGTCAAGACCTACATCAAATGGAACATTAATGTGAAAAAAACACAACATTTCCAGTCCCGTCATGTCAAAACACCTCAGTGGAGTCATTTTAAAGCCATTAGATAAAGTTCTAAAAGAAACAACTGGTTCTTTTACATATCATGCATATGCAAAGTGTAAAACACAATCACACGAGACATCGGCCTTAAAGTCTCGTCGGGCCGTTTGTTGATATTGTTGTAGTCCGTGCCCCAATCCATGTGTACTAGTATTTGTTTCTTTTCTTGCTTGTATCTATAATTATTGTTTATATGAATAAACATAAACAATACAAGAACTGTCGGAGGACAGTAATGCTCGACTATTCGAAAAAGTTGTCACAAGGGTGTTTCATTAAGTATAATAATGCTTACCTATATGAATACATAAAATTGTCCGAAAAGGTACAAATGCTTGTTATTAAGATGTTTTATCGAGTAAATCACTGCTTTATTATTATGAATGCATAAAATTGTCCCCAAAACAGCACAAACCCTTCAGTGGTTATGCAATAATTTCTAAGCCGAAAATGGCATAATTATAAAAAAAAAGCAAATCAGAGTTATGGGACTTGTGCCAATCATGTTAGACAATCACAGAGAACAAGTGTGTGGAGTTTCAATCAATTCCCTACAGTAGTTATGGAGATACCAGCTTACACGCAAAAACTTAACCAAGAATTTCTAAGTCGAAAAAGGGGCATAATTATGATAAAAAGCAAATCAGAGTTATGGAAATTGTGCCAATCATGTTAGATAATCATAGAAAACAAGTGTGTGTAGTTTCAATCCATTCCCTTCAGTAGTTATGGAGATACCAGCTTACACGCACAAACTTAACAAATAATTTCTTAGTCGAAAAAGGGGCATGATTATGCAAAAAACTAATCAAAGTTATGGGACATGTGCCAGTCATCTTAGATTATCATTGAAAACAAGAAAGTGAAGTTTCAATCCATTTCCTTCAGTAGTTTTGGAGATACCAGCTTACATGCAAAAACTTTTCCAAGAAGTTCTAAGTCGGAAAAGGGGAATAATCATGAACATTAGCAAAGAGAGTTATGGGACTTTTGCCAATCATGTAAAATAATCACAGACAACAAGTGTGTGAAGTTTCAATATATTCCTTTCAGTAGTTATGGAGATACCAGCTTACATGCAAAAAATTAACCAAGAAGTTCTAAGTCGAAAAAGGGGAATAATTATGCACAAAAGCAAATCAGAGTTATGGGACTTATGCCAATTATGTTAGATAATCACATAATAAGATGCAATGAAAGTAAAGTCCGTACCTGCTGTCAAATTAATGAACATAAATATTATAAGTTTTGGTTTGGTTTAACGTGGCACCAACTTTTTAAAGGATTATCACCGTAATATAGCATATTTCTACATTTGAGCCGCGTCATGACATAACCAACATAGTGCGTTTACGACCAGCATGGATCCAGACCAGCCTGCGCATCCGCGCAGTCTGATCAGGATCCATGCTGTCCGCTTACCAACTCTATTACAAGTAGAGAAACTGATAGCGAACAGCATGGATCCTGATCAGACTGCGCGGATGCGCAGGCTGGTCTGGATCCATGCTGGTCGCAAACCCATTATTGTGTCGCCTCTACGGAGTAGTGGCGACATATAGGGATCACTTTTTAAATACAATGGAGTAACTTTTCATATGTATTTATAATCACTCAGTCCGCAACATTTACTGTTTTGTTATAGCATTCCCATCATATAAGAACCAAATTCTAATAAAAAATACACATTTTCTGCACTCTCCTGAAAGACTAGTGTTTGATTCTTTGTCTAATAGTATCGCCTTATTGATTAGATCATGAGACAGCTCTATCAGTCTTGGCTTTTGGGTGACTACTGAGTAATAACAGCACACGATAGAAAAGTGCAAAAGACATTAGACCTTACCCCTTTGGAGTTATTGATCAATTTATACTTTTACTGCAAAACAAATTACGGCATATTTATAAGGAAACCGTCTCTGAATAATAGTTGAAATGAATAACAGGATGTCGATTTGACGCTTTTCCGATGTGTTTTGTTTAACATTTAAGTCTCATGCAATTTATTGTTGTTTGCAATTATTAAAACATTGTTGGGCATGTACGACTTATGCTTATATTGCACAGAACTTTTGTTTCGACATAAATTCGGAAAAGAGGGATCCCCAAATTACAAAATTGAAATATGTTGTAGACTCGGTTGATTGATCTTGTTAATTTACAGTATTGGACAATACAAGCTACGTCCACGCTCCCTAGCACCGGCTTAAGCAGAACATGAAAATATAAAATTTGAGTTTATCAACCTTCGCAGATGTGTAAATACGGCGGTCATCATATAACATTCAATGTGACAGGTAAGTGTTATAGCATTATATCTAAATAACGACGTATTGTATCCAAGTACAAAAACCTTTATGCCCTAAACGAGAAATTCTATGTTATTTTTTTGTATAATTATGCTGTTTTTATGCTTTCTACTTGTCTTGTTGGTATAGCAATTCTCTATCAGCCTATGACTAAATCCTCTGGCATAAACGTGTCCAACTATCCACACTTTATTTTTGCTAATACAATTTTCACAAATTAGAAATATATGTGATACTAACCGACGAGCTAGTTCAGATTGAAATAGAGAAAATAGGAATTCCTTATACTCGTACTTTCACAATATTGTGCCCTTTGTAATTTGAAAACATCTGGACACGGGCTTTAAGAGGATATATTTCAGTACAGTCAATACAAATATACATGTATATTTAACTTTAGTTTTTCAAACACTTTCAGTTAAACACATCTGTCACTTATTTTTGTCAAATGGAAAGATGACCAATTCCCCGAAGGTTTCGTATACAGCATCCAGCCGTGCATAAAACAAAATCAGATTTATTTGTTCGGCGATTTTTTTTTCTTTTTGGTATTAAACGGCGGCAGTGACAAATTACTGACCATACACTGCTGACCAAAATCTCTCATTTAATTATCTGGAACTGATTCTAAAGTGGTAGCTTTTAATTAGAATGTTCAATCCCGGCTAATGTCAGTTTGTTTGTTTTTTCCTTATGACAACCTGTTATGCGTAACTAAACACTACAAAGAACATAATTTAATTAGAAAAGTCTTAAAAAATGATGTTTTTTTTTTCATAAGTAAATGGCTTCAATACTTTTACATGAAGAACATTTTAACTATTTAAGATACATTTTCACTTTTATATCCTTTAACGTTTTCTAATGTAAAATGGAACTGTTATTCATGAAATTAACAATCTGGTGTAGAGCACTATGATTTTCAATTAAAAATTGATTGTTTTATTATAACCTCTTTTTGTGTTACG